CCTGTACCACAGCCACTTCAGGACCAGCCAGGAGCCCAGATATATTTTGGAGGAAAAAACATCAGGCTCTCCTTCCTGGCTACCTGCAGCACCACTGTGGGAACAGTGCTTCACACCTTGGCTACGAGGACCTAGAAACACCCACGAAAAGAGCAACCTTGACCTAGACCTCAGTGACAAAGCAGGAAAAGAAGCAAACCAGAAGAGCAACTGCTCTTGTCCCTCAGTTTCTGACAGTGCATCCTCATGTGCCAGTGACTGCAGCTCTTCCAGAGATTTAAATATTCCTGTAGCCACAAGTGAGGGTCATTTAAAGCAAACCAGCAGTTGGAGACTTTCCTTCTGGAATGTATAAAAGATCAATGCCCAGCTGAACAAGACCAGTGCCAAGCATTTTCCTCCAGAGCAGTGGCAGGATCATAGACAACCATGACAAACCTGACCCCAGGGAGAAGGAAGCTCCAGCAGGTTTTTGCATGAGAAATAAGCCCAACAGAGAAGATGCAGATCTGCCTTACGGAGGTGGCCCCATGCTAGCACAAATGATTAAACCAGTCCCAGAGAAGACCATTCTGCTTCAGAACTATGGGTAACAGTGACCATGGGCCAGAAAAATATGTGGCTGCACTCAGGACCTGCACAGACTGGATTAGTTTGTGTTTGTCACTCAGTCCTGGGATGTATTTTTCGTGTGTAGCCTGAGATGTAGAAATCGCTTGTTAAATTTTCTGGCATTGGCGAGAAAAGAAGGGGAAAAAATCAATTACACAAATACTGGTCTGTTGACATTTAAAACGAGACAATGATGAGCATTAAAAAAAAAGGTTACAAAAAAAATCCTGGGCCAGCAACCCAAAGGACCAAAGACAAATCACAAAATAGGATGCAACTAATTAGGCTGAAATGCCAACAATGTTCAGTATATCGTTCAAAGTATCTGTGGTGTCAGACTGCTGCCGTGACCCCCAGTACAAATATGCCAGGGGAAATGTAGAATAGGACTGAATCAGATAAGTTAAATACAAATATTTTAAAATGACATTTTAATTTCTACCTCACCGTTTTAACATTTTCGAAATCGTTAAATAAGCATGTCGCCTATTCTCAGAGCAGGCCAAATGTCAGGTGTTTGTATGTATTATTCAGCTGAACATTTTAAGTACATAATCCTCCTCATTGCTAAACAGGTGGTATTATATTAACAGGTTATTTTCTCAAAAGGAACAGTGAACAGAACACTGCTGACTCCATACAGTGGTGTATTACAGAATGTGGAGCCAGTGCAAGGATGGAACTGAGCTGAGGTCTGTAGGCAGGACAGAACTTTCTGCTGTAACTACAACTTCTAAAGCACATTTCAAGGCAGAGTACCACAATTTAGTTGAGTTATTCACAGAATTATACACAGCTGGAAAACAAACTTTTGTAGGCAAGTGATTGTGTAAGCCATACATGACAGAGTACACGCTACCGGGTCTCATCCAGGAAACAGTCTCGTTTAGGACTTAACAATTATAAACAGATAACAGACCTATTAGGAAAAGCCTTGCAAGCAAGTTGAGTAGATTCTTTGTAGGCCACACTGTACCCCTCTTTTTCAGAGTTGTATGGTGGGCTTTGTTGCTGCTCTGTTCCCAATCTTTCAGTGACAATTATTTGAGAGAAGAAGTGGACCCAAAAATAAAAAATTAGTGGAGCAGTACACAATCAGGAGCCCAGCCCTTCGACTTTCAGAAGGAATGTGAAACAGGCAGTCACAGAAAGGAAATAATACACAGCCCATAGCATATTCCAAATGTGCTTCCCAAACTTTGCTTTTAGAACTAAGACTTGTTTATGTTTCATACATGATTTCCAACAAGATTGACTGCCTCTGGGCTTTTGAAGTGCAAGAAGCTGTTAGCATTTTTTTCTGACTGGTGAAAATCCACAGACAGACTCTACTCTGCTTTATCTGAACACCAGCAAACCCACAACAACACTCCGGGCATTGCTTAGGTTTTTGTTGTTGTTGTTGTTGTTGTTATTGTTTGTCACATCAAATAAAAATCTAAATCCCTGAATTTGATAAAGTTATTTTTCATTTTGGGAACATGAGGTTAACACAGAGTGAATTCTGCAATAAAAATGAAATGCTTTGCCCATCATTCAGGATCGGCTGCAGCTGCACTGTGCTAAACTAAAAGTGAGTTGCAAAAGCAATTCTCATCTGCTTTTGAAGCACAAGCAAGAGGTTACTAATGAATAGGAGAGTTTTTGATTTCTCCTTCTAAATAAATCACGAGTAAATCAGTGCTTTGAGCTGCATTTTTCCCTCAAACGACACAACTCCTAACAGACGAGCCAGCTTTTGTACCCAGGGTGGTACCATGGGGCTGGTACCCCAAACCCCTGAGTTCTTCACAGACACTTGGTTTTGTATGGACAGGAAGAGTCCTGCTGCACCACCTGTGTAAAATCTGCCAACTTAACTTAGACTGCCTTTTCTTATTATCTCCTCTTTTTCAGTCCTTTCTCATTCTTGGGCTTGAAAGAACTTGACTCAAAAATCCACAGAAGGCAAGTTGCAACCATATTCTCAAGTGCCCTGAGATAAAAACTAAGCAAAGCAGGTGAACTTTACCTGAAAGACTTCATAGCTTCCCACTCCTTCAGCAAAGATTCTCTTTATAATGTCTTCAATTGACTCATAATCTGGACCTACGACAAAAAGTTCATTTTCACAACTATCATTTTAACCGGTATATTTTAACACATCTACTGGAAAAATCAAAGGAATAACTACAAGATGTGCTATGCTTAATCTAGCAGTGAGGATCCCTTTGCAACCACACTTCACAGCTGGTATCACTCTGCTGGCTGCAGTAAGCTAGCACAGACATAATGACAAGCAAAAATCACACCCTCATTGTTTTGTATCAAGATAATTTGTAGTTTTCTTACCAGTTGTGGATTGACTATATAAATATTGAAACCATAGTGTCTATGGTTTGTCTGCATAAGGTATCAAAATGCTTTTAACATAGAAAAGTGAATAAGAGATTACACTGCATAGCCATTCAAGGGAAAATTCCAGCTGAATTATGGTCATACACCTGCAACTACATTAAAAAGCTCTTGTGAGAAGCTTCCCCCATGTCTGACAGAGGCAATGCCAGCCAGCTCCAGGATGGATCCATGGCTGGCCAAGGCTGAGCTGATCAGCTACAGCGGCAGCACCTCTGGGATAACACAGTCAAGGGGGGAAAATACCCTGTGCAACAGCAGCTGAGAGAGAGGAGAGAGTACAAGAAAGCAGTAGCTTCACAGACACCCAGGACAGGGAGGAGGGAGGGGCAGGAGGTGCTCCAGGAGCTGCTCCAGGTGCCAGAGCAGAGACTCCTCTGCAGCCCCGGCTGCAGCCCATGGTGAGGCAGCTGAGCCCCTGCAGCCCAGGGCAGTCCATGGGGGCAGAGATCCACCCACAGCCCATGGAGGAATTCCTGCATGCTAGAGGTGGGGAATAGTCAGGAGTTCTCCCCCAAGAAGGATGGAGTAGAAGAGCCCAGCCAGGGTCACCTCAGCCCTTACATGTCCTTTTGTCCCCCAAGTTACAGATAAAACCTACCTTCATTTTACTCCCCATCTCCCCCAAAGGCAGGTCCAGCTGTGCCAGTGGGTCACTCAGCCCAGCAGGGCCACCAGGTGCCACAGGGGCTGCAGCCAGGCCCAGGGGAGCAGGGCACAAGAGCAGGGGCTGTCCAGGTTTGTAAAAAGGGGAGGTCCCAGCACCTCTCAGCAGCACAGTGTGACCCCTCATCAGATGCCACCACAGCTACAGGAGGTCAGGCACCCCTCCTCCCTCCCCAAGAGCTCTCTGATAATACTTGGCTAAGCAGTACAAAAACACTTGGTGAGATCCCAAATATTATTACCTTTTTTAACATCTAGTGTGAAAGGTTCAAACCACAGCACCCACCAATTATTACTGTACCTTCTTCTTGCTTGTTTCTCCTTAATATGTGGATTTCTTAACCTACAAAGAAAGATAATATACCTACTTTTTTTGGCAGTAATCTGAAGATCTAGAGCCCAATAAAAGCTGTTTAACAAAAAGGAATTCTTAGGTAAGGTTTTTAAAAGATCCAAAATACCACTGGAATTTCAAAGGACATGAACATTTAACATTTGCACTAATCAATTCATTATTGCATTCAAGGAAACACATTTTGCTTTCTCTATAATAGAGAAAATGAAATGTTCATTCAGTGGAGAAAAACTTCCAAAATAATACTGGATCATTTCAATCTTTATGCCTGATAAGCACGAAAATGCTCCTCAGATCAACCCATCAAACAAGAACCTGCATCACCCAAGGAATTTGGATATTGTTAAATTTTATTTTATAGTACAGTGTTGGGCACTTTATGGTCACGTGGAATTCACCAAAAACTTCTACTGATGCCACAAACTTTGGAAGGAAAAAGAAAAAACAAACCACATCACATATCACAGCTCACTTAATACATCTAGACAGTGCACTACTAACAGTAGTCTAAGGTCAGAATTACAGTTCTCAAGATGACTTTGAACAGTACCAGAAGGTGCAAAAGTGTGGAGTAAATTTGGCTCTAGTTTTGTTAAAAGGTTAGTAATTAAATTTTCAAAACTGTAAGGACAATGCTGGTTGTTTGGTATGTGTATGTTTTTTTAATCTCAAAATTGCCAATAAAATCTCAATGTATCCTGTACTTCATGCCTCTCTTTTAAGTATTAAAGGCTCACAATAAGGGATATTATTGGGAATGGTTTTCAAGGGTCACCAAAAAATGTTATAAAAAAAATTTAGAAGCATCAAGATACATGATGTTGCTTTGTTCCATGTCGAGGCATTTCTCATCAAATTTAAAATTAACAAACACAAACTGTTTGCCAAACATCTAAGCATTTTAAATTGCTCTTCCTCCTCAAAAACCATGAAGTAACAGATGTGATGTGCTTGTGTGCAAGCTGTACCAAGATTAGCTCTTCCACAGTGCTTTATTGCCTCATTCAAGTATATTAATTTAAAGAAGGTCTCAAGGAAAAACCAAAGGTTAAAAAAATGTACATCAATATACAAAGAAATTAATTTACAAAAACTTTAAAGGATACTGGCAACACTAGTAGATGTTTTAAGTAATGACTTATGATAATTACGGATGTCACAAACTCAATTCTTGTGGTCATCGCTGGTCCTGAAAAGCAGTGCTTAACACCTCAGCTTTTTACCCATGATTAACAAGTGATCAAAGCATAAGCTAAATATCATAAAGTCAAATAGTTATCCTCACTTCAATTTAACCAGGTTTTACTTTTAAGAGTTACCTGGAACTACTGGTATGTGAACATTGGCTTAGGCCTTATTATTTCTACAGAATGTGACATCCATAATCATTCCCAGTCACTAGAAATATACATTTGCCTCATTAGAATAGATTTCTTCATGTTTTTATCATACAACCGTATTTCAAAGTTACATGTAATTTTACACAGTTCTAAAAAATACTATTTCATGGGTCTGCTTGAAAGCAGATGTGCACTACTAAATCACTTTGAAACAAGGGGCAATATTGCACAAAATTCACTGAAGATTTGAAAGTCAACACATTTTCCCCTTCCAACCAAGCTGCTCCCTTATTTCTAACAGAAAGGATGTTAATTCACACACAATCATAATAAATGTCAACCCAACTTACTTTCCAAATGCTAATACTGTTACTGGATTCTAAATACAAGTGTTGTTAGTATTGAGCTAAGTAATAGTACAATTTAATTGAGTACCCTTTACTACAGTACACCTTGGAGTAACTTCCAACTGTGTTACCTGCTTCATACCGCAACCCAGCAGAGGATGGCAATGGCCCTGCCAGCTATGTGGGTTGTGGATGTCCCTCTAGACTGAGGTGGCTGTGCACACACCAGGAAACTCTACAAGAATAAGTGAAGCAGCTTTCAGAAAGACCTGTCAAGTACTTTCAACTGGCCACTGACTGAAACTGTGGAACAGATATTGCAAAACGGATCAAGGGAGGTTTTGCACAAGCAAACCACATCATCCCTTTCCGTTCCTTTATTTTCAACACCCTGAGGAACACGAATTCTAGGCCAGCTGTGGTCCACGCTCCTGGGGTGAAGATGAGGACACGCTCTGGTCAGCTCAGATTCTGCTAACAAGCAAACAACACCCAGCAGAGACAGACATGCCTAATAGCAGCAAAGAAGTTACTGAAGAGAAGTCACATCACCATTCATACTGGTTTTGCTGGTGCAGTTATTTCTACATTCATTCTTCAAAGATTTACTGCAATATCATAGGAATGGACAGCCTTCACCATCCTGAGCTTTGCAACATGGAAGCTGTTTATTAACCACATTTGTTTAGCCTGAAATTCCAGGCTGTTGGGAATGCACTGGCTAGAGTCTCACAGCACCTGGACTAGAGGCTGGTGACAAGGGAGGAGATGCTAACTCCTTGGAAATAAAGCTCCTCTTGAGATCTCCCTGAGGAGTCAGGGAGGTCCATGGTTAGGGATTCTTCCTGCAGGACAGGGTACAGTCAGGATTACACAGGGGGCATTTGCAAAAGGGTCTCATGCTGGCACTTATTATTGCATGAAATGTTTCTTTGATTACTTACATGCATAGAGAAAGTATTTTAGATGCTCCTAGCAATTCTATTAGACAGCTGCACCAACAAAACATTGTTCTGTAGAACTGAGTATCATTGATTGCAGGTGGATAAGGAGAAGCTGTTTTAAACACCTGGGTTAACTGCTCTTTTGCTTAGACTTTACATTGGTTACAAGAACACGAGGTTGTAAACTAGCTCATCCTAAAACCTGAGAAGACATCTAAAACAGAATTTTAAGGTCTAAAACACTCTTCTAATAGATCTGGTGGGATTTTCAGAAGCACCCAGCACTTGTCTAAAACTCTGCCTGAAGTCTGTGTTACAATGCCTGAGAGGGGACTTCAGCCAGTGCTGAGAGTTTCTGATGATCCCACCCCAACAGCAGCAGCACCACTGAAATGCTAAATGACAAGGAAGGGTTCAGTCAACAACTTCTATGACAACTTCTACAACTACATTTTTTCTTCAGAACAAGTCTATTTTTCAGAACTACATGATGCCCAAAAATGTGAGATGGAAGAGCAAACCACTGCCTATTCTACACAGACTGCCCTCTGCATGCATAGAGGGTGGGTAGGGATCACCTCTGCATCCACAGCCCTTCCCTGGTATCTGCAGTTTTCCTCATTACATCTCTACACATGTGAATGGGAAGGTTCTGACTAGGACAACAGATTATCCATTCTGCAAATCCCACAGGGAGTTAACTCCACAGGTAATATTACTTTTACCTACATGACTGAGCTGGAACCACTGTAACTGAGCTAGAACTGAAATCTGGAATTCTTCGAAGTTACTATCTCTCCTGTGGACTTCCAGGCTCTGCTTCACCACACTGCACTGGAACAACCCAGGAATCCCTTTGTCCTTCCACTGCCCTTTTTCCTCCCAAACCAGATGAGTGATACGGCTCATTTTAGGCAGACATCTATGCAAAATAAACTCAAAAATATTAATCTCAAGTCCTGGTTTGACTTTCTACATCGGAAATTTGTTCCTATGTGTAAGTAACAGATCACAAAGCTTAATCAAATAACCTGGTATCTCCCTTAAACAGGAGAAATGGAAGATTTTTGAGATCCTGAAGAAAAGAGATGCCTCTGAAGAAGACTACAGGAGCTCTGACTGAGCACAATTCAGTTCTCACCAGTAGCTGGTGATCAATGTTGATGATTTTCAAAGACACTAGAAGGATTTCCACAACTCAAAAGCATACAAGTATAAAACTTGCAAAGTACTGGACCTGGAAAATTTATCTTTATATAGAACCCACTGTGGTACTAAAAATACTGCATATGTAGCCAATAAACAATTTTATATTATCACAAGGACAGAGAACAAGAGTGTTGAACCAGAAATATCAGTTTGGACTCTTATCTATTTGGTAACTGGCAATTCTATTCAAATAAGGCACAAATATTAGCCTTTTTAAAAGATCACTGATAGTAAGTGGAAAAGATCCTGTATATTACAGAGTAAAAAATGTACCTACAGTTAAAATCAACATATATATAAGACCAATCTATTTCTGAACCCACATAAGGTTCAAAACCAAAAAAGACATACTATTTAATGATTGTAAACAAACTATAGCTTTGTAAATAGTAAGGAAACAATGCAGCATAAGCACAGAAACATTTTGTCTGAAATGAAAATTATTCTAAATTGAATATTACCATCTTCTATTTAATCTGTTTACTTCTTTTCAGCCTGTATTTTCACTCCATGAAGCAGTGAACTATTACTACAATGCCTCCATTTTGAAAGATTCCACTAGAAAACTTTCAATTTTATGATCCTTATAAAAACTTAAGAATACTGGCAGTCTCACATGGCTTCCATATTTATTCCACAAAGCTGAGAATGGAACAACCTCTGTGATTATTTGCTCAGCATCTAACCCTCATATAAAGCCACTAAGATTTATGCCTGTATTAGACAGTAATTTTTGAAAACCATTTTCTGGCAGCATTCCTGGTTTGATGGTTTTGAAAGTAATAATGGCCACAATTTCTAGGGTTTTTTTTCTATTTTCCTCCTTAAAACATTTATACTGTTTACTAACTTTAATAAATGAAGAAAACAGAGCAACTTAGATTGAACCATGGATAGAAACATCATGTGAGTTGGAGAGGAAAGGAAAAGTTGAACCTTTAAATTCTCACCACAAAATGCAAGGAGATGAATGAGAAGGAGTGAGAAGTGCTACAAGAACAAAAACCTGTGTATTGCCTTTTGCAGCACTATGCTTGGGCAATGTTTAGTACCAGCAAGGGAGAAGAATGCCCTCAAGTCATTAATGCCAGCTTTAAACAAGAAACCATCAGGTTGCTCTGGAACTTTTTCATCTGAACAGCACATGAGCCACTTGGCCTGATCCACTTGCAACACTGAGAGTGAAGATTTTAATTATTTTTATGATATTATGGATTTCTAATAGTGCAAAATATTTTGCCAAGTAACATTTTTTGTTATTACAAAAGTTCACAACATATCATGTAGATGCACAAGAGGAAATCAAAGGATAAAAAATAGTTTAGAGTACAGACTTCTGGATGTACAACTGCTAACTCTGGAACACAGATTCTCCAGCAATGCAGATGCCCTCCAAAATGTTCATGCTTGATCAGACACAGATATTTCTGCAAGATTTGAACTTTTGCTATGTTTTAGCTTTGTTGCAGTGATTAAAAAATTAATTCTGGAGGTTCATCCTCAGTGGCAAGTACTGGCACAGCCCTTTCTCATTCTGGAGCAAAATGAAATTTTGCACTAACCCCAGATTTCACTCTACTGAGCCTCTCTGGTGAGGTTCCAAACAGTGCTTCTGCCATTACATGGAGCAATTCCCTTAGGTCAGCTACCTTGTAAGAAAGCAGCAAAAAAACCCCTTTGCATTTGTGTCAGCTGGAAAGAAAATGAATTAATACTCATATCAGTGAGGCAACTGATATGAAACTCTGCTACAAACTACTATTAAGGTACTAAAGCACAATCTGATCCAATACCAACCCCAGGAACATGCTCACTCAGGCCTAGGCCGAAATTAACAGAAATCATTAATGACAAAGAGGAAAAGAAAAAAGGTTTCTGACTTAGAAGAGAAGCAGAATGCTATTTCTACCAACTGTACCACAAATATCCCCCTCAAAGCTGACAATTCCAATATGCTGAAACTGAGTAACTGTCTCTTCTGTCCTAAGCTGTTGGAGAGACAAGGTATGTATGGTGAGGTGGAAAAAGAAAAGACAAAGAAAATTTTAAAAATTAAAGAGCTGCTCCACAGAGTATCAAAAATCCTCAGACTTTAAATATCCAAATATTTGTCAGGAACACTGCCAGAAGGAGGAAAAATGGTTGTTCTAAATACATTATACATCATGACCATTTACTCTCCTTCACTGAATTTAGAAAGAAGTTTTTGGTTGTCCAACTTGGCTCAAATGAGAGTCGGATATATACAGTCTCAAACTGAATCCATAAATTTAGCTTTCTAGTGTTACAAATCAGGCACAAATTAGTTTTCCAACTATTAAACTGCAGAAAATAAAAAAAAATAATAGAAATCTATCAATTCCACTTACACTTTCCTTTCTGAGAATTTTTAGGTGAATTAGTCTACCTAGGGAAACTGATAATGTGTCTTTAAAGTGTCTTAGTTGTAAACAGAAGTCAATAAATGTCACATTATAATTCAGCACTTCATGTACTTTATGGAAGAGAGAAAACCACGTGCTACCTTTCTGAAGTCTGGAAGACAGAGCCACAGTTTTAGTTTGGAGTAAATTCCAAGTTATAGTCACAAGAAATTCCTTAATCTATAAAAAGTCTCCTTTCCTCCCCCCACCCTTGCTGAAGCAAATTCCTGCCATGGAAAATCATTATTGCTGTTTTGTAGATTTGCATTCATCTTCTAAGACAGTTAAACCCCTTCTCAAAAGATTAAGGCAATTATTATTCATTACAAATATTAACATTTGTACATTTCAGACAAATCAGATTGCTTGGTTCATTTCATACTAATGGGATTAACATAGTACCTTCAAAACCTGGCTACCTTCAGGTGACACCCTTGCTGCTTAGAGGAAGCAAATGCTAGGAAGCACCATACACTTGCTGTATTTTTAACACAGAGACTAACTAGTACCTGATTTGAGAGTGCATTCATACATTTAGTTCCATTTTGTGGACCTAACTACAGCCAACAAATGAACTGAGTAAATGTAGAAGCGGATGTCCAATGGCAGAAAATGCATACTCAACTGAAGAGAATTATTTTTATAACTGAAGATCTCTTATTCCTTTTCATTTTTTTGGTTATCATCTCATATGGAGTTACATGGAGTCCTGAGTAGTCTCCCTTTAACATCTGATGGGAGTCAAGTTTCTCTTTTCATACTTTTCTTACGTTTTATTTCCACTTCTACTGCTGGACAAGCTATCCTTTGAAATATTTAAACCATAGTGAAAAGCAGAATTCAGTTTACATAATGACACCACTTCCTGAAGAAGTCCACCTTCTTCTGGAGTTTCATCTCCTTCCTTCCCACCTTTCTCCCAAGGGACCAGAATAGATGGCTGTTGAGCAAGACCTGCTGGGAGCTGATCTTCTGAGGTATTGCTTAGTGTTTCATTAGGCTTTGCATACCGACAGGAAGAAAAGCCTGCTTTGAAACTTTCGAGGGAAGTAAACTGGGCACTTGGTCGTACTGAAGACAGGGATGTCAAACTAGTGGTGTCCATCTTGTCAGTAGTAAATGTTTTGCCACTCTTTTCTTCTTCCATCCTTGAGAGAGATTCTCTCTGGCCATCAGAAGAAACTTGCTTCCTTGGTGACGGGGGCAGCTGCTTCCCATGGAGAACACTGTCATCCTGGCCGAGGTTCCACTCTGCCTGGTCATTAGCACTGCTGCAGAGCAGGGTAAGATTGCTCTCACTAGGTGCATTTGACTTGTTCTGAAAGAAAAAACATGTGTTCATAGTTAATGTCACAAGAAACATCTCTACACTGGTATTTTTGAAACACAAGGACTGGAAGGGATTTTGTATGTTCCTAAATCACGGATTCCCTTTGGGACTCAGTGTTACAAAACAACTATCCCAGACACAATGCAAGGCCAAGTGTTTTTACATTTCCTCACAGAACACTGTCTCTTAGCCTAAGGACTGCCTCTGGTACCACAAAGAGGAAGGATTTCTGTCTCCTCTATCCATTCAGTCTTGACACAAGCAGTTTTGACAGTGAACAAAGACACACTTTTCTCGTTTGTACCCATAATATGAGAGGGAGTGGGACTAAAACTAAAACCAGATGGCATTTCCTCTTTGCTTCAGTAATTAATTATACCAATTTTCAATATTAAAGTTTTTTGGTCAAACAAAACCGGGCATTTTATTAATCTAACCCCTGTGTGACACTCATAATATAAAATTTTACAGGCTTTATAAATATTTGCATCAGTATTTGCTGCTCCAGTAACAAATCATCTACTATAGGATCTCTTTCAGCAAAAGTAAGTGTTGGACAGCTGACATGTGCTGGAATTCAGAAACACTAAGCTTTTTTGGCTAATACCACAGCAGTGACTTGGTGAAAGTTTTAAAACTGTAGGCAAGCAGAGTGTTTACACTAAAGGACCGGTGCAACTCTACCTAAAATAGGAACAAGGAGCCCTCTTAGAAAACTCTGGAGTACTATTCTAGTAGTGTTTCAGGTGCAATTACCACCTGGATTCCATGACTTAAATCAAGCAGGAAATATCATCATATCACTATGACTAGTCTAAGTCTACAAGGTGAAAAATGCCTTTTAAACCACATTAAAAAAATCCTAAACCAGCTCAAGGCATATCAGATTTAACAGAAAAAAATATATATTATATAAATATAATATTAAACTATTTGATTAAGTAAATTATTATACTGTTCACATCTCTCTATGTGGTTACTGCTTTAAGGGAAAAATACTGTTCCAAGATGACTTAGTAACCTGGACAATTTCTTGGCTGCTAAAAAACCATCATGCAGTGGCCAGCATGAGCGTACTGTTATATAGCCCTAGGAAGACACATCAGCAATTCTAAAGACTGTGCTGCAGAGTCTGAGCTGCATGTTGTTCATTCCATAAGTGCAGGATTCCACTGTAAATGGACTTGGGTTGGTTTTCAAATAAAAGCAGAAGACTAACCGCCGTCTTGTAATCAATGTCATCCATTGATCTGAAGAAATCCAGGCTCTTTGCTCCTGAGAGTTTTCCTTGATCTGAACTGTGTGTGCTCAGCGTGTCCAGAATCTCTCCAAGCAAGTCCATTTCTCCTTGATGCTGAGTTATTCCAGTTTCACCAGAACCATCACTATCATAAAAGTAAGCAGAAGCTTCTTCACTGTCTTCTGATGACAACCTGAAAACGAAACTTTTCCATCAGATAGGAACATAAAAGCCATTTTATTATAGACACTTCTGAAAGGACATAGGAGAATGCATTTCAAGAGCATTGAATGGGAACATTAACCTGGAATATGTTTCTACTCAAGAATTTTCCTGAACACAGATATATGGTTTCAACCATCTTCAACAAGATGGAGTTATCATTAGCTGCCTCCAGGCCTAGCCAAACATTTTGTTCTAGTGGCAAGACTGCTACTGCAACTCTTCCTCCACCACATGGGAAATTTACTGAAGTACTGCCTATCTGCAAGGACAACTGGTGCTTTTGTCTCTTATTTCCTCTCTCGTTCATTGGAACAGTCTTACCTCAGACCCCAAGTCTACCAGTCTTCTTCTGCCTCTGTCTATCACTACTGCTACAAAGGCTGTTTTCCATGGCTCACTGTTTTCAATATATCCTTTTAACACTTCACTAGCTTTGTCTTCCCTATTATATCACAGCCTAAGCTGCTTGATTTTGCTTTTAGTGTCCTTTCTGGCTTATATCCAGATGTTCATTACCAAAAATCGACTCCTCAATTCAGAAAATGCCTAAATGCAGCTTAAGCCTCAACTTACACTTTTCCTTTATTTCTCATATAGGAAGACCTCAATATAAAAACTCCAAGACATTATTTATCTTTCAGACCCTTCAAAAAATGTCCCATTGTCATGGCCACAACACAACACTTGAGGAATAGATTAGCTGAGGTCACTGCCCACCATGTTGATGAATATTTTGCTGTTTCTTTGTGTATGTAGCCTTTTTATCTGGAGGCTGTGAAGACTGAGGATTATGTCAAGCTCTTCTGAACACGATAAATAATGAAAAGATATAATAGCCTGTCCCTTTTTTAAAAGCAGATTTAAATCCTAAACTACTTGACATCATCTAGATTAAGAATTAAGCTAGCAGCCTAGACAGGAGAAAAATGTGTCACTTGAACTACACTTAGCTGAATAACACTTATTAACCTCTCTCCTATATATATATATATAACCCATCCAAACAGGCTTCTTACTTGCTTGTTCTCTCAATTTCATCATCCTCATCTTCATCCAAGGCAAAATCCTGGTTACTGAGGCGCTGGTTGAAACGAGTCTGGAGGAAGGACAATTAACATTATAATTTTGTTTATTTTTTCTATTTCAGCATTACTTATTCAGAGACCAGCTGCCACTTTACTCATTAGGGCTTCTGAGCACTTGATGAGAAAAACCACATATTGATCAAGTCTTGTAAAGGCTGTTCCAAGTCCTCAAGCATCACCAATTAAAGAGAACCATTTCTCTTCACGGCCTATGGAGGGCCGCTTATTTATGCAAAGCCTGGTGTGCCTTATTATTTATGCAAAGAATTGATTAGCAGAAGACTGAATATTGGAGGAAAAGCATCACTCAAGTCTACCAGATACCCTTTCTTGAAAGCAGATCACAAAAAGCACCAATGGTACTTCTACCATTTCTGGTAGAAATATTTGCCAAGCTTGTTCATCTGTAGAGGAATGAACTCTGCCAATGGAATAAAATTCTACAAGGTAACACTTGCTGATTTGTTGAAACAATAAATAATATTTCAAAGAGGACAGATATCAAGCTTCAAGAAAAAAAGGGGAATAAAGGAAGAGAAGTTGTGTTTTTGAGAAACAGGAGCTGAATAAAATTAAGAAGAATCAGCAAACACCAAAGACATTGCAGTGGCCCCTCAGAACACCTATGAACAGTAATATGCAAGTGTGTTAGTGAAAGCACGAATAATCATATGAAGGAATGTAACAGACAAGTTGATAAACCTAAAACCTCCCTCCAAAACAAGAATTCCTAGCTCCTGATGGTCAAACTCTTTGAAAAAACATTTTTGTTACCAACTTAAATGATTAGGGGTATATTATAAAATTATACAGGGAGACTTTCAACAACTAAACCAAATAAAGTGTGATTTACATACAAAGAAAAATATATGGGGGCAGGGAAGGAAAGAAAAGTATCTGGCTGTAAATAACAGCCTTCTCCAGCATTTACAGCTCTGTGAGCTAACCACGGAGACAACAAGCAACACATGTTTTTGCATAGGTGACTTTCCTTTAGGAGCTGTAATAAAAACGACTGCAAGGGAGGGGTATGTCCAGACTACTTTGCAAAGAAAGAAAAAGAAAGAAAGAAACCCTTAATAAATTTCAAAAGGAGAGCCATAAAACTTTTTCAATGCTCCACTAGGCAAAGTGACAGAGTATGTGCACCTGCAAAAGCTGTCAGAGTCATTTAAGAAGTCCTTCCATTACTGACGTACCCTGCTGTTTGCAGTTATTTAAGCTTTTAATTTCTGTCTTTTCTGCATTTTGAAGTGTGTAACCTTTTTTATACCCCTTATGAAAAAAGGACAGACTTCTGCTTCCTTCCTGATTAGCATTCTAATAACAACCAGACCATTTAAATTTATTACCACAAGAAATGATACGGCGACAGTCCTTTCCTGCTGCACCAGAACTTTATAAAGACTTAATAGACTGCTGTCATGTTTATTTCTATAAAATAAAGGAACAAACTTCTTTAAAGTACCTGGTTGTTTTGCCTCTTCCAAACAGTTCTGCTTAGATATGAATTCTATTACTTAATGTCTTTACCTTATATCATAACAAGAACAGGGATTCAACTTTTGCTGTTTCAAATTGCTCTCATCTTCCTGCACATGGCATCTCTCATCTCTCATTTTGCTTGGAACGTAAGAGCTGAGCACTCTTAAACACAAGCTCATGCTCTCCACAAGCTGGTTTGAGGCTATATATTCTTTCTGTATTCACCATATCCATCCTTTCTGGTTGCTGCCCTGCTTCAAAACCTCCTTCTGCAAGTAGTCTGCAGCCTGTACAGACCTGAACCAATGCTGACCACTGACATAAGGAAAAGGAGCTGACAGTATAAATGCAGAACCAAATAAAGGGAGATTCAGTCCTTAAACTGTTCTCTCTTCTGCTTGCTGGTAGCCTCACAAAATGTACTACTTCGGAATAAAAATGCCGAAATACATGAATGCTAAAGGATTTAAATGTAAGATTGTTATATTCTTGACTGGGCATGAAAGTCAATCTTTGAAATGTCAGCTTTTTATATAACGCTAGACCCTTCAGATGTCCAGCTTTTGGTAATGAGTGTGTATTGATTGATACTAAGGCAGGAAGTTTAACAAGGCTGCTGCTATTAATTACACTCCAAGTGAAAAACAAATAATCTTTTGATAAATGGCAGCACAAATATTATTTCACATTTACTGGCTACTCAATATATCAACACATATAAAGTTTCAAAAAAAAGGAAAAATATATACCATGGTTTAAATCTGTGAAGTACTGTTTCCTTTTTCTTAAAAATTTAGAGAATATTCATTCAGTACAAGAAAGCAAAATGAATACAAGTCCACTGTTATTTATGATTCAGTATTTTATTTTATCCATCCTCCTCTACAACCAAATCACAGACATAATTATGACTGCATCCAGTAGGGAAGCAAAAGATCTCTCAATCAGACTTTCCAGTAAAGCACAACTCGTTGCCTTCCTTTCCGGTTAAACACTGTGACCTGAAGCCATGACTCACAGGAAGGTACTCCTCATTACACTCCCTGAGAGCTGAGACTGATGAAAGAAGAGGGAAAGCAGAGACAGAAAAGAAGTACAGATTCTAATCAAGAATGCTCTGATATAAGAAAACTGTCCTGGATATAAATTAAATAGATACTGCCAGAAATATGTGTATGGGCACAGTGCGTTGAAATGCCAAACACACTTTAATGCCACAGAGATCCCCAGTGACTATTGTACAGTTACAGGAAACCCTAATACCTGTGCTGAGGTAGGATTTATTATAAGTATGGATGACAAATTTGTTGAGATACTTAGTCACAGATAGCACATGTAATTACTTTTATTCTGAATTACTGTGGTGAAAAATGAACAAGCTCTCAGCTCCCTACCATTTATGCACACTAGACTCCAGAACACAGGTATCATTTGAGAATTGTGTAACGCTGCTTTTCCTTTTTAACAATTAATCACGCTTCTGCAAATATTTTTGTCAAGAATAGTTCTGTTTTCCTCCAAAACAACAAGCAACCTTCCACTTTCCCTGAGGAATTGCAGCCCTTTTTTTCCTCAGGAAGCCTGAGCCCTTGCATCAGCCTGAGGCCCCACACTGCCCAGAGTGAGGCACCATTTCCCCACAGCAGATCCTGCTTTTCTCAATGGCACCGAGGCTGCTCTTAGCACACCCTCCCGTTTTCAGCTGATGATGCACCCTGGCACCATGCCACACACCATTCTAGCTGCAAGGAGTGCACCATCCCAAGGCAGCCTGGCTCCACTTTCATTGGCAACAAGCAGAAGTGTTAGTCCTTTAAAATAGGAGATTTGCAGTGCCATTTGCAACAACTAAAGCCAGCAGCTCATTTTTTTGTGCATGATTTTAAGAATCAGATTCTCTAGGCAGAATTTGCAGTTACAAGAATGGAGAAATTTATTACTTATTTTCCCTTTTCCGATGGTGATTAATGTCCTAATGTACACTCAATGATCAGATGGAAGGGATATTATAGAATGGAGGGCTGAGAGGGTCACAGTGGACAGAAGAGCAGGAAGATAAGGGAGAATGTGTGTCAGAAAAGAAAAATTAATCAGTGTCCAAAGCCACACAATGTTTATATGAACAAAATCAGAAAAAGGAACATAGATTTGAGGTAACAAGAAAGTCAAGAGACCTGGAATTAACTCAGGTGCACAGTGTGGGACTTCAGTGAACGAGGACAGCTGTAAATCCAGTTTATTTGGCTGAAATGTGCTATTTGATACAATTCCTAAGCACGTCAAAGAGAGACCACTGGTTAAATTGATCTTTTGGGTAAAATATGCATCATACCCTACAATCAGCAGAACTGTTTCATGGTACAATCACTGCTGAGAGCACCAATGGCTGATCCTGTGTGATTTTCTCAGAGGAAAACTATCAAAAATACCTAAGATAAAATGTACAACATGGATGTGATGGTAAACACAAGCACCCTACCCCTCCAGACCTCAGCATCACCAGACCCTGTCCATCAGACTGATGGACTGTGAAAGATCCTGTTTGAGGGAAGTGCCATAGGAAGCTTGAAAACAGACTAATCACATTTGCAAGCAAAAAAAGATTGTGCCTTAGAAATACTGACTCCAAGCACATTTCCACACTGTCTAGGGATTCCAAAGAGAAGAATTACCAAGGAGGAGTTCCTCTTCCTGTTTGACACCAGTAGGAGTCTTCTGCTCAACAAATAAGGTCTTTCTCTGCAAGGTGCTGTGGAATTTGGCTGGCACTTGGAGTTGGACGTTACTGATTTCAGCTATTTTAGAGCCCAAATGAGACAATTAGAAGCAAGACAGAGGCATCATCAGGATGCACTCGAGATTCTAGGTGGGCTGAGCCGCCCTTCAGTCATGCCCCTCTTCGCACTTACTGCAGAAAGAGCCTAAGGCACCGCTGCTGCTAACTTCAGCACTTCAGCAGTATCTAACATTAGACAGGCTGAATCTGGACTCACATTTAGAGATGCTGAGATCTCTGCAGGAAAGGATTTTCTTTTTTCTTCTATTTCTCCCTCCTTTTGCCTCCAGACAAGCTTTTTTCATTAACTGAACTTCTTAATTCTTTGGTTTTTTTTTTTCAATTTTAGGTACAGGAATATAGAGAGGAAGAAAACGTTAGGGAACACAGAGTACTAGAGCTGAAGTTTTAGATGTAAAGTGGTGCTCTTCAAACCTTCAAGCCAGAAGGCAAAAGCAACGTGGAAGTCAGGACACAGGTTCCAACTGTTGTCTGATGGCTCTCCTGGCTCCCTGGATTTAGCAAAACTATGACTTGTGGGAGACAGAAGATACACAGAAAAGAAAGTAAAAGATAACACTGCTACATTAAGATGTCAATAAATTCTCCTGCTGGAAAATGTATCTGGCCATTTCACTTAAATTCTGAGGACACAAAGGCTCACCCAGTTTGAGGATACTCTGCAAGACAGTGTTTTTCTCTGAGATCCTTCAGGAAAAGAAAACAGTGCTACACATACCAGTATGGCTC